TGGCACCATTGTGGATGGCTGGAGTTAACTGGCGCCAGTGTGGTGTGGTGGTTATAGGGTTGGACTGGGGACCTGTGAAACCCAGATTTACTTCCCACCCAGCCATGAAGCTCACTGGGTGAGCTTGGGCTGGTCACAGACTCTCAGTCCAACCTACTTCACAAGGTTGTTGTGAGGATAAAATGGAGCAACCTAAGCTACCTTGGGTTCTTCACAAGAAGAAAAAAGGTGGGATATAAATATAATAGTAGTAATCATCACCACCACCACCACCCAGAAGGTTTGGATTGCAATATAATAATCCAAAAGATTTGTCACCAAACCTTTTCACTAACTTCTGTAAGAGCCAGCTCCAAGCCAGTATCTTCATCTGAGCAAAATAGGCCTAGCACTTAAGACAAGATACATGGGCTGTACCCATCTTTTCCCCTAAATCCTGACCTTTCTGAGGCAGGTTAAATTGAAATACAGTGATAGTGAGCTCTATATCCAGGCTTAGGATGTTACAACTCTACTCCATCTCTAGCATTAGGCTAGGACACACATATATTCAGCTATGTTGTAGCAAATTGATTTCCAGGTAAATGAAAGTCAGAAATGTTGGTTTGTAGTCAGATCTGGGCATGGAAATGTGTGTGTATGTATACCAATGCTCACATGTAAAATTACACAATCCAGGCTGTTTCCAAAATGCACACTGAGACATTACAAATATCACACTGGCAAACAGAGAATTTCAGTTGAAAATGTCACTCTGGATTTTTTCCAAATGCTGAATGCATTTGAAACTCCCCCCTCCTCCTGTGTCTTAGGATGGGATCAGAAAGTATTTTTAGCAGCAAAGTCAACCCTTTTTCAGACCAAGGACTGAGCTCCAATTTCAGAGAAGATCTCAGGGGGCCACATTCTAGTGGTGGCCAGGGCTGTAGGCAAAAGGGATGGTGCCAAAAATACCAACCTACTTTAGCATCAAGCACTTATTGCCAATAATGAGCCATGGGGAGGCATCTCAACTTTTCAGAATGAGAGGGAAAAAGGTGCAAGAGATGGACCTTTAGGTCAGGGGAAACTAACTTACGAGACATGGCCATTTGGGAAGCTTCAGGGGGCCAGAGTGGGACCACAAGAGGTCTCAGTTTGGCCCATGGGTCACTTCTTTAACCATGTTCTTCTACCATTATCTGAAGTATCAAGATATGTCTCTTCTCTGGCCAATTTTATAGGAATAGAGTATAACTGGTTCCCCATTACCACCACCATCTGATAAGGTTTATTTTCCTGTCACTTGAGATTCAGTTTGCCCATATTAAAATTGACCAGAGTTTAAAAGACACATTTTGATCTTTCAAATGATGGAGAAAAAAACCTGATAGTTTATGATACCTGATGCTAAGCGAGATGCTAGTAGCACTAACATTATTTTCTGGATAGATTTCCAAGTCTATTGTTGCCTTTCATTTGACAGCATTGTTCCTATGCCATGACACCTTGGAACTACAGATTTCCTACTAGTTTTAAAAGCAGACAAAAAGAAGGGAGAACCCCTGGTGGGAGATGCTCTCCTCTGGGACAAGAAGTTTGTTCCAGAGCTTCCTGTTAATAACTATATGCAGAGAAGAACAATCTAGCATGTCTGATTACAATGGGCTGCGGCAGCATGGGTGGGGAAAGATGTATAAATAGGAAGCATGTTTTGACTAGGTTACATTGTTCCTATTTTGGAAAGAAATATAAGGCCACTTGCAGACAACTTCTCCTATTTGCAAGTGTCAAACTGTCAGGAGTCCCTAAAAGTAATTTTTAGTAAGCAAACATTGTGGAAGAGACATAGATAGTGTACACTAGATTTTTCTAACAGTGATTAGAATCAACTTAGCAGGGAAATAAGCCCCATTCAGGGACAGGGTACGCACCAGCCACTAGCTAAAACTCTGCAGATCCCTTATGAAGCTGCGAAGAAATCATGAACAATCATTACGATTACTACTAGTGCATTTTAAAAATTGTGGATTAAGTTCAAAGGATACCACAGGGTAAACTGAACATGCTTCTTAACTAGATTAACTACAATCTTAAATAGAAGCATACCAGAAAATACTTTGGCCACAATCCAGTGTTGTTAGGCAGATTTTCAATGGTATACACATATTCCAGTCTGTACTGGGTTGCAGACTTTGTTCATAAGCATTTGTTTGCATAGTGTTTGATAAACAGAGGCTGTGCGCATCATGCAAATTCATGCACTGCACAGGACATAGCACTGGGCAAGCAACTTAAGCTTCCTGAGAACTTCAGCTTTCATTTGAAGAGCAACTTGCTAGTCCTTACAATTCTAAAGAAATGCCTGGCAATGCCTGACAAATTATTGGAGCCAAGAAGAGTAGCAGAACAGGTTTTTCAGCGCTCAGCAAAAAGGGCTTCACAGGGCTCCCACTCTGACTAGCAGAATTCAAATAAGTTTTGCAAAACACAGGGAATTATGAAAATTTACTCTGTTGGCTTAATTTACATAGTTTGTTAGGCACAGAATTTGGATTACCGCAGTACAGCATTTTTGTTTTTCTTAAGCACTGAGTTGATAAATATGTATCTCAACTCTTGGACACAGTAAAAAGCTAAAATCTTTACTAGAATAGTATCTATTAGGGCTAACTCAAAAGGTTGTAAAAATGAGCAAACTTGCAAAATTTCCGTAACACCTTTTTGTGATGTTTGAGTTGGTCTAATGAAGCTATGATTATACCTACGTGGCTTCTGGACATTTTTCTTATGGTCAACATGGCAACCTTAAGTTTTGGGGTGAAAACCTAAGAATCAATTTGGTGAAACCTAAGTGTCAACGCAGATATTTGGGCTTAATTAAACTTTTAGTTGTCAATATAGTTCTCCGCACAACCATGCTCCAGAGCCTTCAGAGGGAAAATGTGACGGGGAAAGGAGCAACACAACCTCTTTGGGTTTTCATTTACAAATTATTGTCCTGCATGTTTTGATGTGTTGAGGCAGATACTGCCATTTGAAATAACCGTAAATGCTGTATGTGAACCTGCTTCGATTCAGTCTGAAGGCTCAACAGAAGATATTGTTTCTTCCACTGTAGAAAGAAGATACAATACTTCTTGCTACCTCATTACTCAGTATGGCTGTTTGGCAAGAAGACTGAATGAATTCTGCATATTCTGTGCCAAGTAGAATCATAGCCAATGAAACACTCACTAAGGGCTGGTTCAAAATTCATCTTGGCTATAATCTAATTTGGTAGGTAAAATCACCTTGATGTACACCGTGAGACTAATATCTGCCTACTTTACAGGATTCCTGCATAGGTTAATGAGATAAGGTAGGTACACTGAACACTTGAAATTTGTTAGGATCTAGGATCTGAGATAAATCAAAGAAGAGTAAAGAAATATAGTGGAGAAAAGGTGTGGATTTCCTGCTCAGTCTGTAGTTGCCAGTTCTCATATCTTTTCACCTATGTGCAACAGGAACTTCTATGACTTTCATGAAGTTCAGACTGTCCCGGGCACAATGATCAAACTGTACAAGGATACATGTATTTATGGAGTGTTTGTGTAATTATTTATTCCTGCAATAGGGTTGGTATTTTCTTGCTGCAAAAATGGGATGTGATGGGGTAAGGCAGGAAGACAGAATACATAGAAGTCTCCTAACTTTGCATGCCTACTTTTATGAATTGTTTCCTTCCCACAATTTTTTCACAGAATGAATAATACTGAATCATCAACTTCAGTCTCTGGTTTAAATGTGCAAATGTAAGATGAATCAGGTTGAAACAGAGGTAAATGAGCCCCTACATAATTAGGAATTTCTGTCATGCCCAATTCATTTTAAAAATTGACAGTGTCAACACCAACATGGTCATTGGCTCTAGTAAGCAGAGGTGAATGCTGTTCAGAATACATGGCACAGCAAATTGAGAGTCACCCAAGATTCGACACCTAGGAATGGTTAGATACACCGTTGTCTTTTCATGGAGCAAAAAGCTTATCGTGGGTACTGGTCATGGTAACTATACATTACCTTCAGCATCACGGGCAGCATGCCTGTGCATCCACTTACTGGAAACATGAGTGGGTGGGTGACACTGCACTCATGTCCTGCTTGTGGGCTTTCCATGGACATTTGGTTGGCCACTGTATGAAAAGTGCTGGACTAGATTGGACCCTTGCTCTGAACCAACATGGCTGCTCTGATGTTCTTATCAGATTAGTTTTCCACTCATGTTGAAGATTAGAAACTGAAGAGCTCACTAGTGTAAATTCACATCACCTGATATGACATACTAGAGAAAGCCTTAAGCTTTCAAAACACATTTAACTTGGCACCAAGACCAACACAAGCAAGACCAAGTAAAGAAGCTTTTGAACTTTGGTACATCTTTCTAAATTAAGAAAGTAAATGGTTTGATTTCCTTAAAAAGTATAAATAAGTCAACTCAAAGTATACAGTACACTGTATGATATTCAGTGCAACCCAAGTGCTAACATATAATAAAGCTGCACTAGAATAATGGACCTCTAGGACAAAACCAGTAGCATTAGCTAGCATGATGGGTTCTCCAGGGAACAGCGTGGTTTACATTAGCGCTTGTGTCATGGTGCATACAGTCATTACTTCCTGGTTGTTCACTTCTAGAGAAGGGAAGTGAGAGAAGCCAGTCATTAAAAATTTGCTCTAGCTATGGATAGGAACCTGAACGGAAACTTGAGGGCACCAGCTGTCTCTGGGCACAGTGAGGTTTATGTAGGCCCCCATGTACAAAACACTGTACAATAAAGCCCACTGAACTGACAATCTTCAAATCAGTTGTCAGTGACTATGGTTTAAAAGGTCACATGGGAATTCAACTGTGCCTCCACCCCATAGTTCCTCAGGCAATTCGTCCTAGGCACCCCTCCTGAAATCTCATTTGGTAGCTATTGGCCTACTGCCAGCCATTCAGCCCCTTTGGGTACAAGAACACACAGATGCTGGCATTGCGTTAAGTTGTAGGAATTTATTTTAAATAACCTACAGTTGATTAAAAGGGAATTCATGATAAAAATAGAAGATACTTGGTTGAGGAAAAACTGCGGGAAACTTGTCTTTGCACCACACTAAGCTAACAATGCCTCTAAAACTAATGGATTATAGCAAAAAAGGGTTCACATTAAAATTCTGCTTTAATTTTTTTTTAATTTTTTTTGTACACAATTACAAAAGAAAAAATAAAAGCCCTAAAATCTTGATTATTTTTCCTTTTTTTTTTTTTTGGACCAAAGCTCACTTCCCTCAAAATTTAATTGACCTGTGAAAGTTGTTTTTACACAATAAAATCTTTCAAGTAAAAGAGGAGAGGGAGGAGGGTTTTTTAAAAGGGGAGAGAAAAAAAACCTGCCAGAAAAAGCAAAACAAAACCCACAAATGTGGATATTTCTGATATATATATATCTATACATATATATATATATTATGTACTCAGAACAAAGTATGATGGGAAAACATTTTGTCATCAATTTATTTGTACTCATAATCCATTAGCTCTCCCCTAGCCCCTTCCTTCCTACTCTCTGCAAATCTACATGATCTTTAAGATCAAGAAGAAAACAAAGCTTAAATATTTAAAAATAATTAAAAATAGTAAAAATTCACATTAACAAAAAAGGAAAAAAAACACTCAAGTCAGGAAGGATCTTCCCATCATGCTTTGCTTTGAAGAGATGTTGAGTTGTTATAGTTTTCAATACCATGATGGTGGCAAGTAAAAATGAAAACTACCAGGTGTTTTCACGATGACCATTGTGGCCAGAGCCAGTGTACTGAGGGCTTTATTCCATTGTGTTAAATTAATAAGAGGGGGAGGGGGGCAGGAAATTAAGGAGTCCATTTTCTATTAAAATATAGAAGTTATTGCAAAAACCCTAACTGTAAAAACACACCAATATCTCATTGGATTTTGTATACAGTAGCTAATGATTTCCAAGCTCTTCAGTGTAACGGTGAATTTGCCTGGCAGAAGGTTAACAAATTCCCCCATCCACTTGTCTTCCCTCCAGAGATAAAACACAAACCATACAGCTAGAATTTGGGTCTCTGAAACAGATTTAAATAAGTTGTCCATAGGACAACTGGCTCAGCTCTTATGTAATATTTCCAGGCATTATCTTTTCTCAAAGATGATGGGTATTTTATTAGACACTCGCTTTGCCCTCCCAATGCCCCCCTCCCCCCCAAATATAAAGGACAAGTAAGGCTCACAGTTTATCAATCTCCCTAAAATCAGGCTACTCCCCTTCTCTTCCATAAAATCCAGCCCATTAAATCAGGTTAAAACTCATAGTCTTCATCTGCCATGTCGATTGCCCAGGCAAATTTTTCCCGTTGTGTTTTGTTATATATCTTCTCTATAGGTATTCCAAATTTCTTGCACCTGAAACAGGCAAGTGGGAGGGTGGGAGGAGAGAAAGTTCAACATTAGTTAACAGCAATGCATGGGTACAGTGATAGGGACTACCTGATACAATAGGAATGTTCCCTCTACCATGCACATCATTTGACATGGAGGTAGTTGGACCATCCCCATCAGCTCCACCGCCTACATCTTGTGCTTTCCATCCCAGCCTCTTAACATTCACAGACTAAAAATGCCAAAGGGAGGGGGCAGGAAAAATGCTGGGGGAGGCAGCAGGAACAGGTCAGGACCTAACTCTACATGCAGTGGTATACACACAGCAAATTTGACCAAACTCCCTTAAGTTAGGGATAAATTTTCTGTGTGATGTTCTGATAAAACTTAGCAGTAATTCCATTATGCATTTTCCATACCTTATATGAATTAGCACATATACCCTTATTGTTACAGCACTTGTCAAAGAATTTAGCAGATAATTCAGTGGCTTTTAATACATGTTTCTGGCTCTTTAGACTGAACTTAAGAGTATGAACCCATGCAGAAAACCAAACAAGCAGCTTTTCTACCTCAGAATAGCTTGCTCATATATCAGGTACAGATGTGTGATATTATGGTCAGTAGCTAAGGAACAACACTGAGCTAATAACAATTTTCCTTTTAAAGAGCAAAATAAGCCAGAGAGAAAAGGTCAGAAACTTTTTCCCTACTTCCCCCTGGCAAGAACTTACCAGGCAACAGAAATCCTAGGGTCCAGGTAATTTAGTTTGGAGGTCCCCAAGGCAATTTGCTTATTTTCCTCTCTGTCTGTAGCCAGGACCTCCAACTTCATCAGCTGCTCCTCAACTCTTTGTACTGCTTTCTTTTTACTTTCCACAGTCCTTGGGTACAGAGGGAAAAAAGGTCAGATGAAAATTGTAAATGGATTTTTCAGACTGTTTTGCTTTGACGAATTAAAAGTCAGTGCAGAAGATTCCCCTGAGTAGATTGCTAAGCAATAGGAAGTTCTGTCAAAACATTCTACTTCTCACCAGAAGAGAGATGAACATAATTTCCTTACAAGTGCAAAATTCTGTAAATCGTTTATTTGTACTTCTTAAGCACTATTGGTAATTACTGTGCCTCTAATATAGACAGGTAAGCAGAAAGAATTACTTGCCCAAGTGGTACAGTATACAAGGACTTTGCCTGAGTAGAAACGAACCAAACCTTTCTTGGTTCCATTCCAGTAAATCAACCATCCTGTTTTAAGTTCTTAATGGGAATTTCAACTGTATGGTCTACAAAGAATTGAGTTGTTGACTTTCAACTTTTTCTTCAAGCATTTCTCAGTTGGAAAGTTATGCACATATATAACATTTTTATGCCAATATGGCTGTGGCACAAAGATAACCAACTGATGGACTGCAGGCAAAATCTGGCACACCAACTGGTTTTTTGGAACTGCCAGTTTGAAGCAATGTGGCTTTTTCCTGCTGTTAGCCTAGGCAGCACTGCTAGGTTCAACTGAATTCAAGGCAGCACTAGCCAGCACAAGAGCAAGGTGTGAACCACTGATTCAGCCGACAGCACTATAGGTTTCTCTACAGAAGGATGCTGCCAAATCTCTGCATCATAACAGAGGTATGTGGACCTCTCTTGGTTCAGTACCAAAGAAGGCAGAAGTGCTGCTGCCTCAGAAGCAGTGCATAGGACAGTTCCAGAGGCAAATGTACATTCTATGTACATGTTAAGGGCTTATGCATATTGAAACATTCATTTTGGCAACTGTAGATGTGTGCTCAATCTAAAATCAGAATAGTATAAGGGAAGAATGGGGCTATACCTGCTGGCCTACTCCAATGACTTAGCTTTGCCACTCTCCACATGGAAGGTGGAGATTTGGAGCAGATGGGCTTTCTGCATGATTTAGAGAAACAAGATGCAAAGGAAGACAAGGCTTCTGCTCCTTCAATAGTTGTGTAGCAAAGACTTTCAGAAGCTGTAACTTCACATGCAACTATTAACAGGTACAGGGGAAAACCTGTCATCTGTGGCATCTATGAACCATACCATGATTTAGAACTCTTTGTGATCAGGGCTCTAAATGTGCATGGATAGAGTAGACAACCCCACTTCAACTCCTTCCCCACACAGTTTCTGGAGGGTTACAGAACAGAGTAACAGGGGGATGACACAGGAGGCAGGGCCTTTCATTTAACCTCCTTGTGCTTAATAATGAGGATGACTGGAAGTGTCCATACTGAGTTCTAACCACCATTTCTATAGTAATGAAAACATTTCCAAGATCAGAGGTGGGGCAGGAGGAAACAACAACAAAAAAATAAAACAGGGAAGGGACCACAACTCTTAAGGAACTTTAACTTTCCAAAAGTTCCAGCTGGTTTAAGGCACAATTCTGATAAATTCAGCTATATAGAGGACATGAGAAAGAAATCAGGAAAATGAACAGTAATCTAAGGAAAGGGTACACAAGTATAATTGCAATTATAGCCAATTGCTGTAGATAGGAGGGCTCAACAAGGTTACTGCATGCAAATAAAATATGTGAGTTTGCTACAGTCTTACAGTTTATGATATAATTCCTTTGTGAGTCCTCCTTTGTAAATCTTCAGTGACTTCTGCTTATGAACTGGCTAATTAAGAAGATCTCTGGTGGTGCAAGCTTGAGGCCAAAGCGGAAAGCATGGGGAAGCAACTGACTATGCAACCCTATATATTCTTTCTGTTAAGTAAGCTCTACCAAAGCTCTACCAAAGTAAATGGGACTTACTTCTAGGAAGGTTCAGGACGACGCCCTGAGTCACAAACCTTATAAGCATGCCTAAAGGAAAGCACTAATCCAAGGGAAAGCCGTTTTAACAAATTTAATTTCGAGCCAATGATTGTACCACATGCAATGCAACATTGAAATTCTTGGTTATGCATGTCTGTTACAACAGCCAGACTTACTTTTTAGACTTCTCGTCCCTTCGGACCTTGGCATCAGCTTTGGCGCTTTTCAGTTCCCTCTTGGCATCAGCCAGCTGTTCCTTCTTGGCATCAATCTAGACAAGGCAAAAAAGTGGGAAGGAGTTGAAGATGAAAAGCTGTAAACAGCTGATCAAGAGGGGGAGGTTTTCTTAGAAGTCTGCTGGATACAATGGTGGAAACTTTGCCAAAAGAAAAAATTGCACTTCATATCCAAGAAAACTTTTGCTAACTCATCACTGATGTTTCACAGAAGGACTGGCTGGGATTTGCAATTAAACAAGCATGCAAGACTCAAGTTTGCTGAAATGACTGCCAGGATTCTAGAGATCCCGTGTGTATAATGAATAGAATGTTGAATGGAACTGGCAAGACCCAGGTTCTAGAGTCCACTCAACCAGAGAGACTTTGAAAAAGCAGGTTGCTTACCTGTAACTGATGTTCTTCGAGTGGCCATCTGTGCATTCACACATATGGGTTGCTGTGCCTGCGCTGTGCATAGGCCGGAAGATTAGAAAGCTAACGGTTTTTAGCAGGAAAACTCCGCTCCCCTCCCCCTTTGTGGTGTAAATAAAGCGGAGTGTCCGCCATTTTGCTCAGTCTTGAAGACCGCACGTTCACGTTCAATAAAGTAATGATAAGACACCATTATATTCCCACGGTACCGTTATGAATTATAGTACGGTACCGAGAACAATCTCTAGTCAGTGATATAACCTCCCGGTACTGATGTCATTAATATTTCGGTACTGTAAAAAAAAAAAAAAAACCACCCAGCGACATAATCCAAATGGTACCGATGCAAATTATAGTATGGTACCGAGAAAAAACACGATATCCACTCACCGACACCGAGTGGGGCCAGCGGGTGGGTTGTGTGAATGCACAGATGGCCACTCAAAGAACATCAGTTACAGGTAAACAACCTGCTTTTCTTCGTCGTGGCCTCTGTGCATCACACATATGGGTGATTCGCAAGCTTACCAGACTCGGCGGAGGGAGGTGTCATCATCGACAAACAGATGAGAGAACAGCTCTACCAAAAGAGCAATCCCATGTGGCACGTACATCAAGCTGATAATGCTTGGCGAAAGTACATGGACCAGCCCAGATCGCAGCTCTGCAGATGTCTTGCAAAGGAACCCCTGCAGCAAAAGCGGACGAGGTCACTACTGCTCATGTAGGAATGGCCAGTTAGAGAGACAGGTAAGTCTATTTTCGATAGCTGATAAGCCAGGACAATATTCTGGGTGATCCAATTAGAGAGTCTCTGAGATGATATCAGTGATCCCTTTTTTTGCTCGGAGTATTTAACAAAAAGTCTATTAGTAGTACGAAAAGATTCAGTGCGGGATCTGTAAAAGGCCAAGCAGCAGCGAACATCAAGTGTGTGTAAAGCACGTTCTATCGGGGTCAACGGCGACGGAAAGAAAGCTGGTAGAACGATATCCTGATTTAGGTGGAATGATGTGGCCACCTTGGGTAGAAAGGAGAAATCCATCCGAAGGACAACTTTTTCCTTATGGAAGTTCAGAAATGGTGGGTCTATGCGGAGAGCACAAAGCTTGCTAACTCTTCGTGCTGATGTAACCGCTACTAGAAAGGCAGTTTTCCATGACACCAGGCGTAAGTCCGCAGTTGCTAAAGGCTTGAATGGTGGTTTGGTAAGTGCTTGGAGTACTACAGAAAGACTCCACGTCGGCATGGCAGGGCGAATAGACGGATGTAAATTTTGTAGTCCCTTAATGAAGCACCGAACCAGCGGTTGTGAGAAGACTGATAACCCGTGTATAGTGCCATGATAATGGGATATAGTGGCTGCATAAACTTTGATGGATGACGGTTTAAGTCCCTCATGATGCAAATGTAAAAGAAATTGTAAGATATTGGTGACTGAAGCTGTTGCAGGGGAGAACAAATGGCACTCCACAAAAGAGGAGAATCTTCTCCATTTAGCCGTATAGGAATGACGAGTGGACGGTCTTAATGCAGATTCGATAATCGCCTGAATTTCTCTGTCAGTAGGCATCGGTATCGTGATATTCGCTGTCAAATTCAAAGTCGGGGCTGCATATACTGTGTGTTGAGTGAAGTCACCTGTAGAGTGAGGTGTCCCCGGTACCGACTCGGTGACGAGAATCAGGTGATTCGCCATGCCGTCAGCTTCAAAGAGAATATATCCGGATGGCGGATCGCTCCTCCTTGTTGTGTTAACAAGTGCGGGAGAGTTGGTAGATGAAGGAACGTTCTTCTGGACAAAAGCAAGAGAGTGGTAAACCATGGCTGTCTCGGCCACCACGGAGTCACTAGTATCCCCGTGGCCCTGTCCTGGGCTATTTTTGTTACCACTCTCGTCAGAAGTGGGATTGGAGGAAACGCATAAAAAGTCATGAAGTGGGATTGGAGGAAACGCATAAAAAGTCATGTTGCTCGAAGGGACCATGAGAGCATCGCCCATCGATCCCGGCCCGACACCCGCTCTGGAACAGTAAAGGGCACACAGGCTGTTCTGTCGTGTGGCGAACAGGTCCACATCCGGATAACCCCACAGGCAGAAGAGTCCCTCGCAAAGTTGTTTGTCCAACTCCCATTCGTGGGTTGTTGACATATGTCTGCTTAATGTATCTGCTTCGACGTTGTCGGTTCCAGCCAGGTGAACCACCATAAGCGTGATGTTCCTTGGCATGCACCAGTCCCAAATGTCCATCGATAGGCGTGCTAAGGCTGGAGATTTTGTGCCCCCCTGCTTGTTGATGTAGAAAACTGCTGCTACATTGTCTGATGCAATTTGGACAATATGACGGCATAACACAGTCTCGAAAGCCTTGAGGGCGTTGAAAATCGCCAGAAGTTCCAGGAAGTTGATGTGTTTCCTCGCCTCTCGTCGGTTCCAAGTACCTTGGACCCGAAGTCCCGAACATGCCGCACCCCATCCCAGGAGGGATGCATCGGTGTACACAGTCGTCGTTGGCCGAGGTGGTCGAAACGGAGTGCTGATCGATAGGTTATCTGTGATGGTCCACCACGTTAAAGTGTGAAAGACTGCATGCGGGATCCGAATCTGCTTGGTGGCAGGATCTTGTTGCGGTTGAAAAACAGCCTTGAAGAACAGTTGAATGGGTCGCATACGTAACCTGGCATATGGGACAATGGCAATAGCAGCAGCCATATGCCCCAGTAGTCTCTGAACGGACAAGGCTGGAACCGTTCCGTGTAATCGAATCCGATGAGTATGGCTGCATAAAGCATTCTGACGTTCTGGTGGGAGGAAAGCTTTTTCCCGTGTCGAGTCATGCCCCGATGAAATTGATGACCTACGTGGGAATAAGGGTTGATTTGTCAAGGTTAATGCAGAGGCTGAGAGCATCGAGCAAAGCGCAGGTCATTTGTATATCAGACAAGAGAGCTTGTTAGGACTGCGAGACGATCAGCCAGTCGTCTAAGTATGGATAAACCTGTACTCCGTGAGTCCGCAAGTGTGCGCATACTGGTGCCATACACTTTGTAAAGACTCGAGGGGCTGTGGCCAAGCCAAAGGGTAGGACGTTAAACTCGAACAGGTCAGATCCGACAGTAAAACGTAGAAAGTCTGTGTGAAGGATGTATGGAAATATGAAAATAAGCATCCTTCAAATCCAGTGAGGCGAACCAATCCTCTCTTTTCAATAATGGAAGAATGTTCTGTAAAGTGGTCATCCGGAACTTCCTTGGTTTGATGTACTTGTTAAGAGTTCGTAAGTCCAGGATCGGACGGAGACCACCTTTTCGGGACCGTAAAATATCTGGACTAGAATCCATGCAATCCTTCCGAGCAGGACAATTTTCGAATCGCTCCCTTGAGAAGTAGCTGTGAGACTTCATCGCATAGCACCGATGAAGAAGGTGTGAAGCGAATCGGGCTCAAAGGAGGGATAACATCGAGTTCTATCCTATATCCGAACGAGATGATAGATAACACCCACCTATCAGATGTAATGGACTCCCAAATGGGGAGTCGGCCCAGGAGCTGGTCCCCAAAAGGGAGAAGGGAAGGTGGTGCTGGAATAGAGAGGATGGTTCGCGCAAGCCGTCAACGTGGGCGTTTATCGGTATCGAATTGCCTACGGCCTTGTGCTTGCTGCCTCCGACGCTGCCATTGTTGGTATTGTTGGGTTCGAGGGTAGTTTTGCTGGCGCGGATAATATGGTTGATTCCGGTAGGACGACCGGGGCCACTGCCACTTACGTTTTTGCAGGAGCTCCATGCGGCATGCGGTTAGGCGTGATTCATGAATCACCTTTAATTTTCGGTCAGTCCTCTGGTGGAACAGACCGGTACCATCAAAAGGCATTTCCTCGATTCTGTGCTTCATCTCATTGGGGAAATTACAACTGCGCAGCCACGCAATGTCGGCGTAGCGAGATGGCGTTGACGAGGGCCCTTGAATCGGTGTCTACATGGTGACGAGCGGTAGACAGCTGTTGTACCGCCACCCGCATTGCCTCCTTAATAAAAACCCTGGCAAGGTCTGCTTGGTGGTCCGGAAGGGAGGAAGCGACGTTATCCAGTTTCTACATGATAAAGTACTGGTAATGTGCCAGTGTCGCTTCATAGTTCGATATGCGCACGCCGAGTCCAGAGGCCACATAGACTCGGCGCGCAAGCATATCGATTTTCCTCCCTTCCTTGTCCCGAGGAGCGGTATGTCCCCTGGACTCCCTGCCCTGGGAGGATTCAACCACAAGAGAGTTTGGTTTTGGGTGACGGAGCAGGAAGGGAATGTCATCGTCCCAAACTCTATACATAGCCTCATATCTGCGGGAGGTCGCTTGTGGTTGGGCCGGTTGGTCCCAGGGTTGGACCATAGCCTGGCGCAGTGTAGTTATAAGCAGCGGAGCTATGGATGTGGACTGCTCTCCCCGAACGACGTCTTAGAAACAATCTGTCGAAGGGCCTGGCTGTTGATGGACTTCGATTTCAAGCAAACGAACCAAGCGGGACATGAGCTCTGTGAACGAGACATGAGGTTCGTCGGGTGAAGCAGGCCCTTGATATGCGACAGCCACATCAGGGGATGTGGAGTCAACCTCCGAGTCCT